TCCTTCCTTCCTTCCTTCCTTCCTTCCTTCCTTCCTTCCTTCCCTCCCATTGCATCCAAAACCCAGCTTTTCTCTACCCTTCCCAGCAAAACTGCTGCTGTAATCTTTGTTATTGGACTGTCTCCCTTGCCTAATGTTATTCCATGTCCTGGCTTCATGTGAGCCTCTTAACTCCTCCATTCTCACACTCACAAACGTTCCTATCTGCAGGATGAAGCACAAGCAGCCGTAACTAGCCACGCTGGATATTGAGTGACCTGCTGTTTGTCATCCAAGATGGCTGCCTTGGGGTTGTTCCTTATCTGGAGCCTGCTCTTACCTGCCTCCCTCCTGGCTTTGTACCTCCCGACTCCAGAGAACTCTACCTGGCACTTGCCCCTGAACTCTGTCCCAAAGTCACCTCTGTTGGAAGTCCCCTCCAAAAAGCCTCCTCAAAGGGCCCTGCCAGTTGTTCCCCGCTCAGATTCCTCCGGCCTTGAGTTCTCTAGTGGAGACGGGGAATTGAAGAATGAGAACAGGCAAGGGGCCACTCCAGTGGGCCACCCTACAAAATCCAAGAGGAGGTTCAAACTCCTTGCCAAGGGGGCACCAACCCGTTCTTCTGGTGGAAGTTTAGCTCCCCACTTGGCTGAGGAGAGTCTTGTCCTGCCAACCGAAGGCTTGCTCAGTGTTCAGGGAGAGGTTGAGGACGCCGGTGGTATAATTTGGGAACGAAGTCCGAAACAGAGGAAGAAAAAGCTCCCTCTTCCTTCTTCTGGCGTATCAAAGAGAAATATGTCCGCCTCTGTGGCAGCCTCTCTTCCCACTTCACCCAGACTAGCGGCCACAGAATTACCTGTCTCTCAGGAGGGATCCTTGCCCAACCTCCACCAAGCAGGGTTCAAGCAGGGCCTCCTCGCCACTACCTTAAGCCCCAGGCCCACCGTGTCCACCATTCCATTGGCAACATTCCCTGTTAACAGATCTCTTGTCAAATGGGAGGTGGTGGAGGATGCCAAACTTAAGACTGGTGCTTCAAGAGGGTGGTTGGAAAACAGAGTGCCGGAGCAGGAAGTGCTGGGCCGGAACTTAACCACAGTGAAATATTTGGCTTCATACAAGAGTAGACAGGTCTACAGTGGCCACCTTGGCCAGGAAGAGCTTTCTACGTCTCCTCTTAGGCCTGTGGTTCAGGCAGCTGGAGATGCTCAGAATCTCCCTGGGCAAGACAGGGATGTACCACCAGCGACTTCCCCTCCTCGGGAAGGAGTAGTTACCCCACTGATTGGGAAGGGGCACAGGCAAAGCCCAGCAAGCTCCCATCTGCCTGTTTCGGAGGGCCACTTCCCTGTCCCTTTCACCCCTACACTATCCGGGGTGACCTCCCAGGAACCGAATCATCATCCAAGAAGCAAGCATTGGAATCTGATCGTTGATACCACCCAGCAGCCAGGACGTTGGGGCACAGCTGGAATGGAAACCACCGTCTTTCAAGGCAGCTCTGCTACCCCAGGTAGGTTTGGATTTGCCTCTGGTTTATGTACTTAAAGGAATCTTCTGCTCAGGGGTGAAATGCTACAGGTTTGGGCCGGTTCGCCTGAGCCGGTAGTAAAAAAATGCTACTGGTTCACAGAAGTAAAAAAATACTAAAAAAAAAGTTAAAAAAAAACAACCATTCTGACGATCGCACATCGCACAGTTGAGCTTCGGAACTTTTTTTTTTTACTTTTTAAGCATTTTTTACTACTACAGCTTCTCCGGAAAGCTGTAGTAGGGGTGGGGGGGTTCCATTTTTGCTCCCAGCAGGCTTCCTTGAGGCCTGCTAGGCCAAAAACAGGGGGGAGGGGTTGTGGGTTTGCTGAAAAAGAAAGAAAGAAAGAAAGAAAGAAAGAAAGAAAGAAAGAAAGAAAGAAAGAAAGAAAGAAAGAAAGAAAGA